CAATGTGTAGGCTTTGGTCCCCATCATCAAGGTACTTAAAAATCTTTATCAAGAGACAAAATGCATGCCAGGCATCGATAGCTCATACCTGTAATCCTAGCTACTTGGGAGGCTGAGATTGGGAGAATTATGGTTGAAGGCTAGCCCAGGCAAATAGATGGAGAAACCCCATCTCCAAAATAACCAGAGCAAAAAATAAACTGCAAGTGTGGTTCAAGCAATAGAATGGTTGCTTTGTAAGCAGGAAGCCCTGAGTTCAAACCCCAGTCCCACCAAAAAAATTTTTAAAAAGATACAATTTAAAAAAAGAAAACTAGAAATGATTCAGTATTAAATAATATGGCATCTCTCTCTAAATCAGCTTCCCACTGATACTCTCTCAAAACACAATATACTTCCTGTTGAATTTCTTTTACTTGTGATTTTTAAAATTTCCTACTGTTGTATATTTCTTATGGTTAGCCAAGACAGGCAGCTCACTAGACTGTACTCAGCTGAGCTGCAGAAAGTAGGTGTTTTGCATTTGTTTTAGCTTTTTGCTACCACATGCCCAGCACTAGTACATGACAGAAGGCACTCAATAAACATTTATTTAATGAAAGGAAATTTGCTTTATCATAATATTTTTGCATCCTTCCCTACTTTTCATTAAATTACAGGGAATTTTAGTATTTTGATTATCCTTAATATTTCCTTGACTCAACTCTCTGTGGGCATATACTCAAAAAAAGCAAAATTTTACCAATTTTTAGCACATCCTTCCATGTCAGAAAAGCTAGGGAGTGTCCATATTTCTAAGGCATAAATAAAAGGCATAAATGTTTACAGCTCATTCATGGTTTCACATATGCTGGTTAATAACACAGATATATATTCATTCCTTAGAACTTCCTACTTCTAAAAGAGTATGTTGGTCATGGGTTTGTCAGTCATGTTCAACAACTGAAGTATAGATCAATGATTCTTCAGGAAATTTTAGTACTATCAGGTACAAATCATCTTTACTACAAACCAAGTGTGGAAATAAAACATTCAGTGGCTTAAAGTGAAGGAGGGGAAGTTTTTGATGTAAGATTTAATTTGTATTTTTACTTTTCCCATGTGAACAATCTTTTCAAGGAAAAAGAAAACATTTAAAATTAAAGAATTTGTACTCTAAGCAAATGTGGACATTTCATTATCATACTTTTGATTTTAGCAATTGGTCCTTGTGACAACATACCCTTTCTGACATATAACTACCACTTCGAACTCTAAATAACTTCCTATTCCCTATAATCCTCTACATAGTTGGCAGTGTGAAGATTAAAGTTTAGCCAATTAGCCACCCACAACAGCCAAGTTAATCACATCATCTTTGAGACAGTCACAGAGCACTGGAGTATGCCATGATTCTTCTCTTTACAGACAAAGGTTTTGCTAATTGTGAGTCTTGACAATGCCCTCAAATATAAAGGGCAGGGGCTTTTAAGTCAGAGCTGTGTCACTGCTTTATAAATCAGGGTTGATCTTCCTCTGAGAGACACTTGTACAGAGACTTCTTTAACAAGTGTCCAAATACCCTAAATTACTCAACCATTGCTTACTTAGACCAAGGCTTACTGCTCTAGAATAATGACCAGTAATCCTGCAAGGTAAAATGACTCCATCACATGATGGCTACACATTCAATACTGTGACTGGCACATTAATGTCTGTTTAAAGGAAATGCTAATCCAAACTGACGCCTGACAATATGCTTCTCTCCTAACAAGGCCACATCGAAGAAGGAAGAAAAAACAGGAGGAAAAGTCTGGGTAGGAGAACTCCTGGGAATGAGTGGGAAGAAAAGAGGGTTGCACAAAGCAAACAGGAAAGAGGGAAACTGTGGAAGGGGGCTCAAGGAAAAGAGAGAGGCTTAGAGGGTTCCAAGTGAGTCCTGGTGGCCAAACTGATCTTGAGGTATAGCTGTCAGCTGTTAGGGGAATCTGAGATACTGATTAGTAGATTAATACCAGTTCTCTAACAGGAATGTGTTATAGTGACAATTTAGCACTAATGACTAAAAGTGTCATAAAGGGTGTGTCTTTAACATTTTCAAGTTCTGACAAGGCTTTCTGGCCAACTGTGTTATGACCTAAGAGAAAGACATGTGCCCACCACCCCACCCCAAAGTGGCAAGGTACCCAAGTGACCTCTCCGACATTAAGAACTACAGAAACGAATGAAAATGTTGAGGAGCCAGACACCAGGAATTAACTGTAGAGAGAATGGAAGAAATCTTTATGACTCACTGGAGATTCCAAAGAGACCAACTGGCAGAGAAGGGAGTTTGTCCAAAGACACAGCTGAAAGGTCCTACCTGCTGATACTAGAAATGCCTAGCCAACCTGATAATCTGGAGGCAAGAGGACCTGGTCAACGGAACCGAAACCGGTCATGTCTACCACTGAATTGAGACCCTCAAAACTGACACTAGGGCCAAGCAAAAGAATCCTTACATATGAAAAATGGGGATTAAAGGGGAATTACTGGCAAAAATAGCACTGACATAGGCAAGTGAACAAAATTAAAGACCAGCAACTCTGACCTCAAACCTAAGATGATCTTTGGTTTAACACCCATTGAATTTACATGCACACTTACTGCTTGTCTATAAGTCAAAAATGGTACTCTCCTCTCTGACTAGTCGGATCAATGTAATCTGGATCCATTTTCACACCCCTTCAGCAGAGTTCCCAGGGACTTTTCTGCACAGTAGTTCACAATGGTTTTGTCTAATATGCATTCTCTACCAATTAGACCTCCCTGTTGAATCTGTAAGACTTGTACTTTTTGAAGAAGTATATGTAGATGTACATTTATCAGAGGGGGTACACTAGGTGTAAAGCAATCCCAGCCCAGAGGTGAGGAATTCACCCTCCATGCCATCCAACATTTGTTGTTGTTGTTTTTTTAAACCTGCAATGATTTTATTTCTTCATGGTGATCAACATCTACTTGGTTTCTCACTCTTGGCCATACTCCATGTCATGTCACTTCACTCCACAGGAGTTATTTCTCCTCGACAGTACCTACATACTTTTTAAATAGAATTCTTCTGGAATAGTTATGAACTATTCTAGAATTCAGTTCCTGAGCAAAAAAGATACAACTATAAATACATCATGCTCAGTGTCACCTTGAGAGCATGTAAGTCTGGCCAGTTATCTTAACTATTGCAACCCTCAACACTTCAGCTACCTTGGCTTCACAATTTCTGCTCAGTCTGGTCTCTCTGTCCCCAAGCCATCCCAAACATTCAACAACAAACCAGTAAGTTAACAATTTTAGGTCAATGATGTGGATCGGCCTCAGGTAGTCCTAGTGGTAGGACTTAAGAGGTCCTCAGAAGGCCTCCAAAAAACAAACAGAAAAACAACCTCTGCCACTAAACTGCCAATTTTCCTAAAATTAGCCCACCACTTAATTTATCTTGGTTAGAATTCTAGGATTTGCAGGGCACTGGTGGCTCACGCCTGTAATCCTAGCTACTCAGGAGACAGAGAACAGGAGGATCATGGTTCGAAGCCAGCCCTGGGCAAAGAGTTCATGAGAACTTATCTTGAAAATACCTAACACAAAAAAAGAGGCTAATGGAGCGGCTCAAGTGGTAGAGTACCTACCTAGCAAATGTGAGGCCCTGAGTTCAAACCTCAGTACCACCAAAAAAAAAAACCAAAAGTCCCAGGATTCAAGGAAACCTTGTCTAGAAGAAAAGTCACTGTCAGAAATTGATTCATAGCTAAATTAACATGAGACTGCCTACTAGTAATAGGCAGCAAGCTGGGCACTGATAAAAGAGGATGCAAAACAAACAAGATTTGGAAGGGGAGATGGTAGGGCAGAGGATCAGGTACAGCACATCATAGGCTATCAAAGGTGGCACACAAGGTCTCTGAAGCAAGGATGCCTCATGAGCTCCCTCCTACCCTAGTGGAGACGCAAGCCTGAAGTGATAACATCTTATATTTATAAAGATTTTAGTGTTTGCAAAGCCCTTCACATAGCAATCACCTCATTTGTCCTAACAACAATGAGAATATGAGCAGAACAAACATCCTAATCTTAGGTCAGTGATTCTGCCCATCAGAGGCTTCTGTCTATATTTAAAACTCAGCCCAGGACACTGCCCAGACAGGACCATGGCTCCTCCCTCACTAACTCCAGGTTTCATTTCTTCACAGAAATGACTCAATATTTCACAGCTTCTTTTTTTCCTTTCTGAAAACCTTGGCTTCCCTGCTCCCAAGAAGACTGGGACCAACAGAAAACTACTGCATCCACTTCAGCTCATCCTAGGGCCATGTTTCCAATCCTAGCTGTTTATGACAATCATGTGGAACCCCACTTCACCCACCCACACTTTGATGGAACTGTCTGAGGTGGAATCTGATAGTGTGTGGCTGGGTCCAAAACCCCTGCCCTTGTGAGGTCACATTATTCATAACTAGAAACGGCAGAAACAAGCTGCCTCCCCACAATGCATGTATCATCCCTAGTACAGAAGGGAGGGAAAGGCAGTTTTCCTCATTTCCTTCCATGATGGTTCCCACAATGAAGAGAGTTCTAGAAGCAAGAGAAGGCCAATTTTAAAGATGTAACAACTTATGATTCATTAACCTCATCCCTGGACAGCTGGACAACTTTTCCAGGTTTTCCTACAGATCTGACTTCAGAGCAGCTATCAGCTCTGAAAAGTGTCCTGAAAGTGGAGAAGAATCCAACTGCCAAATTCCTCTACCTCTGTGAGCCCCAGACTGTACTCTTCAGTATACTGCACCAAGATGGGCTTTAGCTGAACACACCAGGTTTATTAAATCTAAAAAAGTTAATGAAAATTAGGCTAAATACAGACTCACCATCAAACACAACAAATGAACAGAATGGATTCCTATAATTAGCTGTCTTCAGAAAGCAGCTCTAGGAACTGCACGTAACCCTTCACCCACCAAGTAATCCTATAAATGAAAACATCATACCTGATGAGATCTGGCTCCGCACCCTCATTCTTAAAGGAGGCCAGAAGTAGTCTCTCTCGAGTTACAAGATCATCCAGTAGGTTCTGTCTTCGATCCCCTTCCAGTTGTGTTCTGCAAACATTTTGTTAAGGTCCAACAGGGGGATGGATTACCTCATTTTACCTATTACATTGTTAAATTAACTCTTCAAGTTACTTGCAGCAATTAGAGTCTATAATTGCTATGATCTGGAAGAGACCAGAACAGTGCTACAGCTTTTCCCGCTCTGACTTTCAACTTCATTGATCTTTCAGACAAATGAACTTGACAGTACCACTGCAAAGGGATGGATAACCATTGACATCAATAACTACTGCATTTCACTGAGTAATATACTAGGTAAGTGACCAGTGACCAGTCAACAGGGCAATCTGGATTAGTGACTCCTTCTGTTTTGAATAAGTTAGCATTCAGGGTGTTTTTGTTTTTTTTTTTACACCCTACTACCCTAAGATAGGACTGGGGATGTGGCTTACATGAGGCCATAGGTTTGATTCCCTGTGGGAAAGGGGAGAAAAGAAAGAAAAAATTTCAGATACTGTTTTGGAAAGGGAGCAGAGGGGAATGGGTGGCCTCTCTGCAAAGCCTGCTTTCTTCTCTATTAATACCTATTAACAGATAGGATTTATATTCTGTAAGGTACTACTTTATGCAACAATTTGCAGTAAAAAAAAATTGCCATTGGTTCATTATTTAAAGGTATTATATGATCTTTAGGAAAATTAAAAGCAAAGATCATATTTTAATGTGTTATTCTAGCAAATGTCCTAGACTAGGAGTCTCAAGGGCAAACCTTTAGTCCTATTTCATCCTCTTAATATCTTGAACCAGTTACTTCACCTCTCGGGGCCGTTTTCATTATATGTAATGTCAGATCACCTGTAATGCCTTTTCCAGCGTAACTCATACGTGATAGTTACAAAAATAAATCAGAACCTAATCCAAAGGTTTTTTTTGTTGTTTTTTGGTGCTGGGGACTGAACCCAAAGCCATGTGTTCTACCACTGAGCTACACCACAGTCCCTAAATCCAAAGTTTCATACACCAGCTTTCTTGAAACAAACTATACAAGTTATTCTAGCTGAATTTTGTATTTTAAAAAAACAAATAACATTTAAGAAGAAAACTTCTGCATCAGCCAAAGAAAGTGAAAGTTAACATGTTTGAAAGGATATTTCTGGACCCAAAAAGTTACACAAAAATAAGCCAAATGAACTCAACTTTATCTGGCTTTTATTTTTCCATCAAATGGCCTTTGTTTTATTAGATCTGAAAGGCTGGTGATTCAAAGTAGCCCTGGTCCAAACACCTGGCCCCAGGAATAATAGTAAAGATTCGGTGAGACTGTTGGTTTGCATTTATAGATACTTTTTCTTTTTAAAAAAGAGTTTCTAAAACATTGCATGCAGACCCAAAAAGTATCTGAAAAATTGGTAGAAACTAAGTAGAAGCATCACTATAACCTGAGTTGGAAAACCACAGCCTGATAAGTTCCTTTTTTGTTGATATTTGTACAGAAAAGAGCTAGCTAGATAGTAAATAGTAAACCTAGGCAAAAAATTTTCCCCGTAACAAACAGTCATTAGTAAAACTCATAAGTCCCCAAACCAATTCAATTTAGCAGTGTTAGTGGTTTTAGATACTAAATAATAATAAATGAATTCTCTCAACATTCCAAAACACACTTTTCCTGGGTCAAATTACTACCATTACTTCTCCATTTCCTGCTGATGACAATCATAAAGCAGCAATTGTAATTAAGAAATACAATTAAATATTCCATTGTATTAGTAAAAATGGCCAATCAATGGATGTCAAGAATTAATATCTGTTTTCCAAATTAATTGTAAATTGTTAATAAATGGAAGGCTTTTTCTTCTATCTGAAAGAAGTTCCTAAAAAATAATAACAACAGGAGGCTTTGACTAGAATTATACAAGACAAAATGGGAATTTTAAATTCTGGAAACTATTAATTATGTCCATTATTAATAACTTTGTCTTGTGTGCTGCTGTTCAGCCACCTGGCAACCTTCAGTATGGCTGGGATTTCAGTGACCAACCAATCAAGCAAACATATACCAACTAAAATCGAGTATCTTAATTAAGCACAGATTCAAATGGTTCTGGAATTAAACATGAAAAAAATAAAACTCTAAAAGTAATTATGAGAATACATAGGAGAACTTTTTAATAAACTTGGAGATGAAAATCTTTCTAGCAAGAATAAAAATCCACAGATGATGAAAGAAAAAACTAGAAGGTAATAACTATATAAGATTTAAATTTTTACAAAGTAAAATTACAAGTGACAAATTAACAGTGGCAAAAGAAAAAAGAGGCAAAGGACATAACAGAGCCAGAAAAGAAACACGAGTATCTCTAGTAAAATGAAAAGGCTTCTGGTTCACCTTAA